AGCCAAAGTTTTTCTTTTCTTTCTATCTGAACATGCTCAAAATACACAGCTGAGTGTTGTTTATACGTTCTGCTTGTCCAGGATGCTAAAATACCTCATTTCAAATGAAAAAATCCAAAAAATTCCATATATACCGAAGTTCGGTATTCGGTATACTGATACCGGTGCATACCTACTTGAGATTTTCATCCATACGATCTTATGATCTGAATTTTTTATATACCTTACACCTGATTAGCGTTTTTTCATAAGCATTTCGCTCACTCCGTCAGCTATTTTTTGCAACTTCAAATTTTATCGTAATCAGTAGTTTGTACCCTAGGGTCATTGGCTGACATAGACCTTTATAGGATCCATTTTCAAAAAGTAAATGATAATTCAGTTAAAGGACAGTATTTCGATCTGATACTTTTAGAATACGTTCTTCAATAGTCGTAAGAAATTCTCAGAAAACTTCGTGAAAAAATATTGTATGGCGAGAGTAAATCAGCAAGATCTTCTTGGTAATGTTAATAATCTATTCAAGGTATCCATAAGGGAAAAGCATTTTTCAAAAATGACATGCGAATTGAACAAGCAGTTACTGAATCAGCGAAATAATTATACAAAAAAAATTTTTTCATCAAAGTCGAGTAGGACGGGTCGCCAGGACTCAAAATTTTGAACCAACCATATCTTGATGGCCGACCGTTCAGGCCTAGGATTCAAAATTGTTTTTCTGCCCTACATGTTGCCTTCACTTTAATTACAAAAAAATTCAGATCATAAGATCGTATGGATGAAAATCTCAAGATGTCGGAATATTTTTATGGGGTATTGTAAAATACACTGCCATTTCTTATCTTTCTCTTTTTTTCTTTACAATGAAGGTTAATGGGGACAACAACAGTCTTTCGAGATTTACTTGAAATTTCTTCTTGAAATTATTATCGTTTCGCTTTTGCGTTGTTTTTATCTTAATAGCACATACGCCTTTTTCCTTTTCAGATTACTATCCTTGAGATTAAAGGATCTATTTATTTAAATCTGTTCTATCAACATGTTAGAAACACGTACAATCGGACATATACGAGCTTTTAGAAAAATTTCATTACAGCAAAAACTCGGTTTTTGACTTAATTAAAAGACACTAAGCTCTAATTGTAGTCTCATTAGATAGAGCACATAAAATTACACATGCACAACTATTTTTAGATATTTCGTCCAATTCTCTTTGAAGCTTTTTTGTTTTTGAACGGAACCTAAACAAAAGGTAACAACAAATTTACATCGGCATACTTGAAAGGAAAAGCGTTTAACAACGTTTGTTTAATAACAGTAACGTTGAACATTTTACATTTTTTTAAATATTAAACGTCGATGTTTCGCTATATATGAAACAGCATTTTCAAAATAATGGTGTAAAAATGAATCTGACATGGTCATTTATTCCAGCTTTCTACAAAGTCAATGCGATAAGTAGTATGATGTGTCGAACGATACGAATATGCTCGACCTATGAAATAATACAGATTCAGTTGCTTTTCATAAAGAAAGTCTCACTTTTGAATGGATGCCGCGGACTTGAAAACGTAGTGTGAATTAAAAGAGTGTAGTGAACTATAAATGAGCCGGTGAGCTCGGAAATGATCCACGGAATGGCTTACTCTCCTTTTTGTGCAGCTGACACTAAGATTTCGCCAACAAAAATTCCTCAATTTCTGACATGCTCAACTCGCCATTTTATGTGGTTCTTACAGACAAGAACTCCTAAGGGCTTTCAGCATATTAACTGGAATTTCTCGTATTTCTAAACAAACGAGCAAATTATTATTTATTTTCAAAATAAATAATAATTTGCTCATTTGTCTAGTTAACATGTTAAAAATTGAGACAAAATAGTGACAAAACAATGATTAAAAATAGAGGCAATTTACTGTCAGTCCATGGAAGTTCCATGGACTGACAGTAAATTATCTCTATTTTTAATCGTGGGAAGAAGAGTTAACAAAAAGTCCGTTATTCTGACTATAACATTTAACGAAGCATCAAATGTTTTTGAATTATAAATAAATAGCTCATTCAACAGCATTAAAAACTGAATAAAATAACTTAGATTATATGCATGCCTGAAAATATTTAACTTGTCTCTTTTATTTATACTCAAATTATCGATCAATTAAACCTTTTGAAAAATTCAATTTTTTAATTTAAGTCGCTTATTAGCGAGTCAGATCAAAACGGAGGGCAATTAAAGGTACGCTTATTTGTAGAGGTAATAAATCTGGGCTAAAACTGAGCAGAAAAAGCCTGAAGAAAATGGCTGCTATTGTGGCTAAAAAGTTGATAATCGTTTATAACTGAACAAATATATATTAATGATCTGCACACTATGTGCAAGTGAGCATCTTATAGTCTTATATAAAACGCTTTATTTCGATCTTTCGCAGACCATATGTGCCTGATATTTATGGACATCCTTGAAAAAATGTAGAATTGAACCTTTATTTATTGTATTGTAGGAAAATACTGTTCCTCTACGTACTTAACTTGATATGACCAATACATACGTGCACAAAATACGAAAATGTAGATGTAAGAAGATAAGAAAAACAGAGAAGAGCAGAAGAACAAAAAGGATAAAAGATATTATAATAAATTTTATTGACTATTTTCTACATATGAACAAAATTTCTAAGTGGAGAAAAATATAGATAATATGATGATTATGAAGCAAAATGTATTGTGTTCTCAATGTACTGATGTACATGCTCCAGTAAGAAACAATTTTGTCTATCTACACTCAAGGGGTGGTATCCCTTTAAAATCTGTTCTATACTGGGGTACGTATTTGTGCCTGCAGATAATAGGAAGTTGGCTAATATTTATAATCTTCTTTGGACAAAGTATGTAGAATGTAAGAAGTAGCTGTTGTCATATAAAGATTAAAATTTCACCACGCTTACATCCACTTTAGCCGTTCTTTTTCTGTTCCGCTGACATGGCTTCCTTAATGCTTTTATTATTGCTCTATCCTTCACTTTAAAATTATCAAACTGTTCTTCAATATCTTCCAGTAAAACTCCTCTCGTTTCTGGACAGAAAAGATATACGAATACTACAGCCAATAAACTCAGACCACTGAAAAGATAAAATACTCCATGTATCCCTAATGGAGTTATTAATTCCAATATGTAAGACATGATCGTACCCATAAACCAATTGCTCCCTGTTGTTATTGAAACAGCACTAGACCTAACGTTAAGAGGAAAAATCTCTGCTGCATAAATCCAGGCGATTGGTCCCCAAGAAACTGCAAAAAAAGCTACAAAAATAGCAGTAAAGACAAGCATTAGTATACCTGAACTTGCTTTACAATTAACAACGTCTTCAGTCGCTGCAGTACCATTGATGATTTTTTTTTCTACAGTGCAGCCTGTGACAAATACTGTTGCTGCTACAAGGTGGCCAATTACCATACCTAAGCCACAAAATATGAGAAGCTTTCGACGCCCTAGTCTGTCAAACAAGAACAAGGCTGGTATTGTGCTTAGCAGGTTTGTGCCAGCCAAAATCAATAATGATATGATGCCATTTCCAAGAACACTTTCATAAATAATACCACCAAATGTAAATATAGGATTAATACCCGTTGCCTGTTGTAAAACATGTATGCCCACACCAATACCAAGTCTTTCAAGCATTTTCTTTGTTGTAAATAGTTCTTTGATTGAAACTTGATTGCCCTCATCTTGTAGAGCATCGGAAATAGCGTCTAGCTCAGCAGTTACATCATCTGTTTTACGAATGCGCTTTAGACTTTTCTCTGCCGATTCTCGACCCTTTTTCTTGAACAACCATCGAGGAGTTTCAGGACAGAAAAATATACCAATCATAATTGTAACTGGAGCGATTAAAATAATTCCATTTGACAACCGCCAGCCCCATTTATGATCTTTTAATAAATAATTTACCACATTGGCAACAAATAAACCAGTTACCACAGTCATTTGCATAAAGCCGGAAAGCATTCCACGTATTTTTGTTGGAGCTATTTCTGAAGCGTATATTGGACAGGAAAATGAGGAACAACCAACGCCTGTCCCTTCAACAATCCGCCCAAAAAGTATCAAAATCATTATCTTTTTTGAACCCCCTGGTGGGAAAATAACCATTGAGGTACCAATGAAAAACAGAACTGATGCCGTGAAAATAATTGCCCGACGTCCAAATTTTTCTGCCACAAACGAAGAAATGAACACAGCACCAATAAAACATCCGACATTATACAGTAACGTAAAGAGTACTAAAAATTGTCTGTACTCGGAAGGCAAAGCAGGGACAGGGCGGTCACACTCGCTTTGATCGCCGTACACGCCAACACAAAAGTCGTTTTTAAATGAAGGCATGACAACTATACCGCCCGTAACACCTTGGTCATAGCCAAAAAACCATCCACCCAATGAAGAAAAGGCCGCCAATAACACAGCAAAATACGGTTTTCCGTAGCGAACATTTTCATGTTGATGATGATGATGAATTTCGACTTTGGGTTCGATCGGCATTTGGTTTATATATTGATCGATTTCGGTGACGGGTTCCATCGGCATTTGGTTTATATATTGATCAATTTCGGTGACGGGTCCTGTCGACATTTTCTTTATTTGCATATAATAACCTCTAGACTTTAGTTAAATAATTTTTGTTCACTATACTCAAGTAATACACGTTTTCTTCCGAATGGTTGTAGTGGTAGTAGTTAAATAATCAAAAATACTTGCTCTCATATTACTACACACTTTCTCCAGGGTACCACGACAAGTAAAAAGTATAAAAAACAAAGGAATTGAAAACCTTGCAAATAAATATATTTAGTTATTTTATTGTGAAAGCAAAGAAAAGATAAGTGATTAAAAGAATGCTGTGTACCTGTAGTCATTATCGTTAGTTTAGTGCTATTATATAGTGTATATAAGGAGATAAGGAAGAAAGAGAAGAGCAGACGCTTAAAAATAGTCAACGATATAATAATACATTTTAAATGACTATCTTCTACGTAAGAACAAAATTTCTAAAAAAAGAAAAAGAAGGATAATATAACGCAAAATTGAATATAGAAATAAATTCTTAACGTAGATTACACTGAAGATTAAACCTAATGTCATGTGCTTGAACTCTATGACCACGCCCAATGTTTAAATCAGGATCCAAATTCAAAATTTCACCCCGGCCCCCCCCCCCCAGAATAGAAGGACATTTCGCACCTTTTTTGGTGAAAAACTGACCTATCCCTACAGGGCATGTTTCAAAAATTTTCGCTCCAGGCTGGCTTTCTATTTAGGGGGGGGGGAGGAGGGGAGATTTAATGATTCGGACTTGCACGATGTCGTCAACTCAACTATGCAATACGTAAAAAAGTGTAAACTTGTGTGCGATCAGCAGCACGAGTAGTATTTTCTCCAAGGGAGAAAAAGCGAGGATAGATCCTGTTTTTGATCTCTTTATGACACCCTATGATCACTCTATGATACGTTGTGATACTCTATGATCCATTTACAATTTCTGTTTCTAATCCAGTATTTTCAGACACTCTTCGTATTTTTAATGCCAATTTTGGACGGTAGGTTCTAGAAATGTCGGCAGTATGTCGTTTTGTTCAGAATGGAACGCTCTAGCCAACCACGTGGTTAAAAGAGCTTTTGGATGAAGTAGGACTTTAAACGATTTTCTAGAAAACTGGAATCGTCAAGGTCCTTTATCTCAAAATCAACGTTTATGGAACAATGACCAAACATTGAGTCATGGACCAAACGTTTTTTTCTGTGCATATTTAGTATTAGCATATTTTATTTAAGGTTTTATGTTTTTCAGTTGATCTTGGGCGTGTGTATTCACATCTATTTCTTGATTTCCACTCGGTCCTAATACAGTCTAATATTACTAACTAAAAGAAGAAAAAGAAAGAAAATTCCTCTTCTTTTTTCGTTTTTCGTTTTTCACTTTAAGCCTTTTGTTCATACGAAAAAAAATAAAAATCTCTTTTTCTTCGTCTTTGTTTTTCATCCTTGTGTCATTATCTACCCTTATAATCTTAATAACCTTATAACTTGAATATATTTATATACTCGTATATCTGTTATATGTCGCACAAACTGGAGACACACAGCGTTATATCAAGAATGTTGTAAAATCGCATTAAATGAGGCGTTCCTGCTAAATATTTTGAAAATAATATACATGTAATCGATGATTAAAAAGGTTTGCATTAAGGGCATTTTAACGTGCTTGAACAACAAATGAATGAAAACTTTATAGCTTCTGAATCAAGGATGATGAATACTTTATTGTTACACTCAAATGTGGCTCTTCTCTATTAAAGTCTAAAAATGTTTAAGCTATTGACCTCGATTTTTGAAGCAAACATCAAAATCAACATCTGAAGCTTTTTTATAAGCTGCACGTAATTCAAAGAAGGAGCAGGTTTTTATTTTTCAATAAAATATACATGATTTGAACCGGCTCGTGGAACTGATTTCGAATATCACCTTAGATTTTTATTTGAACCACATTTTGTGGTCAAAAAGTCCAAAAAACTGAAAATTTGGTTTTTCCCCCAAAACCGGGCTTTTTCCCAATAAATCGATTTTCTCAGCATATATAACGTCTACTCACTTCAATTTTTTCCCCGTCGTAATCGCCGTGAAAAACTGAATAAGAGTAAGTGGTTTTGACAGCGTTCACATACCACCTTGCCCTCCGAAAACTCCTCTTTCCTCTTTTCGTGAACATGTAAAAGATCGACCTCTTTTTGTTGCAAACCTAATAACTCTTGCTGATTTAGTGTTAGAGCCAATGTTTTGCGATAGAAAATTTCACCACATCGCGCTGAAGGAAAGTATGCATGGATTCGTTTTTCTTGCATTTTCACATGGAGAAAACTGACCTACATTAAGGGTACCCCACCCTCTTTTTTTCACCTTGTTGCCAAATGCGGAGCACATGTCCGGCTGAGCTCCAATTTATACTAGAGATAGAACGTCGAAAAAGAAAATCGATGTATTTTTGCCTAGAATTTTTTGAGATGTTCTTATATTGTTTTTTCTGGAAAACTCCAGTTTCATTGGGTCATATTACGACCTCTCGGAAAAATGGTCCGATCGAGCTCAAATTTTGACCACAGATATTTCAGACCCTATCTCAGAATGGAATTTTTTTTTCTAAAAAATATGCTTTCCTTCTCGAGATATACGAAAAATGCTGAAAGTCAGTGGAAAAAAGTGAAAAAATTTGACTTTTTTTGTGTGCAACTTATCATAAATAAAAGAGAAAGAAATAGCTATCACTTATGGAGATATGGTGGTAGGGCAAGTTTTTGTAAATATGTATTGATTATCTCTCGTAAAGGATGATAAATTTTTCTCTCCCATTTTTGCTTTGTATATAAATACACTAGCAGAAGTACCCGGCGTTGCCCGGGAAAAGTTAATCTTAATATATGCATACGAAACACCCCTTGGGCTCGATAACACACTTAAAAAAATCTTATTAATGGGAAACCCGGCTGGGAACCGGTTCGTCTACAGCCTTGCTAGAAAAATGCGCTTTGATCGAAACAAAGCACAACAACACATCGAATTGGTCTCGATTATCAGGTTGAAAATTCCTGTTGATCAAGAGAATTAGTTTGAACTGCTGGAATCACACTGAATTCTGATTGGTTACAAAGACAAACACACAGACAAACATTTTTGTGCGACAGAGCCTTTTCAACAAATTAAGGAGTCGATTTTCATGGGCTAGTGGCTGACCGTCAGACTTTCGAGCCTGACAAACCGCTCATTCGAAATCCCCGCCTCAGGCGACGGGAAACCGGCTTTTCCAAATCTCGGCTTGTATTGGCGAATGAACATCGGATTGGAACTCACCGCCTCTAGAAACCCCTCAAGGACTGTTTTCGCAAAAACCCATACTTGATTAGCTGGTTTCTTAGCAGCTCAATTCCTGTTGGGTTCAAGCCAACCAATACGATTTCGAGGCGAATGGACCCTAGATTTGAACGCACCATATACCCTCGAGAACCTATGGTGGGATGTCTTCTGTTTGACCGCGGTGCACTATTAAGTGGTTTTCCTTTACTAATCAATGCTGCAATCGGATTGGTTGAACACACAGGCGAACCTTTTTGGGCAGCAGACCCATGCTTTCTGAAAAAGGAATAGCCCTCCACCTTCCCCTTGATGAAAGCGAAGAACATGCAAAGTTTGGTTGCACTGGTACCTACGGGTCCAAATGCATAAAGAACAAACAGACAAACATTCTTCTTTATATATATATAGATAACGAAAGTAACGACGAGAAGAATAAGATAAATAATTAACGATGCAGCTGCTGCAAATAAAAGAACGCTAGAAAAGCTCATGAAGTTCATATTCGTCAATAGACTTTATTAACTCTGCAATAAACGCCTTTTTTTGTTTACGGAAATTAGAAATGATATTTTCGACACGATTTTCATTAGCGATATTCAGTGCGGTGTTATTAACGACCAACGCTGAAAGAGTATTTTCGTCGGAAAGGTTTAACAGTTTAACCATAACTCAAGAATAATATTACCATTTACCACATTTTTTGAAATGAAACTCTAAAATCCAAAACGTTTTCTGAAGCAGTTTCAACGATACCGGATTATGGAGTATATCGAGTTGTATATATACATGAATTTTTAGTTTTGCTGGACGTTTTTTAACTGAACTGTGGGTATTAACTTCAACTGATAGTGGCGGTTCACTCAAAACGGTTAATTTTTTAAATGATTTTCAGCGCCTCTAAAACATGTCGGATGGAACTAAAAATTGATGGAGATAGAGAATTTGACGTCCTCTGTAATTTGCTGTTGTCAAAACACAGTTTCCGAGAAAATAAAATTGGAACTCTCGAAGAATGAAGGGTCTGTCTTTCAAGTTTTGGACTAAAAAGCAATAAGAGTCCAAACGGCTATCATATTCGGAATTAGCATTGTCGGCTACCTATAATCAACTATATTTACGTTGATGTATGCAAAAAGCGGGAGGACACCTTGAAATGGCCCCCCGTAAGTAGTCTATATTGAACTTTCTATTAATATACCACTAACGGAGTATAAAAGTGGACGTAATGTATTTTCATTTTCAAAAAAGTTTAGCCTTTCGACAATTGTTTTCATCGATGATATCTCTTGTAATGCCAAATTAGGGGTTATTTCTATGTTATCTCATTTCCTTAAAATTTCATGGAAACTTCGAATTACGGGCACTTTACTTTTTTCATCAATGGTTATTAACATAAACGTGTGATCTTGGAAACAGTTATTAAATTTTTTCATTTTTTCAAACAGCTGAATAATCTGAGACAAGGTTTTGACATCTAATGACGTTGATAATAATAGATTTCCGGTAATAAATTTTGCTGGCGATCGTACCATTTGAACAGAACAAGCTGGTATTGACGACAACATCATAACACAATAATACATAATAAAAAACATTATTTGTTAGAAAAACCTATTCCAAGTGTTACTCTTTATAATAAAAAATATCTGCTCTACTAACAAGGCTCATTCTTGTTTCTTTCATTCAACCAACATTTATTTTATTTTAGAAATTATCATCAATCAACCTTTTATAATAACGTTTTCGTTTTAATATCTGCGGTAGTAAAAAATCTAATAAGAAAAATCAGATATATTAAAGACCCCCTTCCCTGGGTCAGAAACCTATCTCAGCCAAGGTAGGTCTGATCTGAACCAAACTTTCAGGGAATGTTGACCATGTCAAAGTGTGGTAATGTCACCACTTGCAACTATTTGTGGGAGGGTATCACAACCAGGGCCACAGCCAGGGTCATCTACCACGAGCAAGAATTCTCATTCCAGGTAAATGATCGAGAGCTAGGGCTGCTTTTGTTTTGCAGTAAACACCTATGGCTAAGAGTTGACAGAGTCCGATTTTTGAATTTCTCATTTAATGATTTCTGGTGCTTAACAGAACGTTCAAAAAATCTATAGAAGATTTCTTAGAAATCTTCATTTCTATAAAATTCTCTATAAAATATGGTAGTACCACAGAAGCATTAAAATAATATTAAAAATACTCTATCCAGTAACTGACACTATCATAGAAGGTAATCCTGGCAGTATCCATGATCGACTGTTGATTATTAAGGTACTGTAGTTCAAAAGAAAAACTTGAACAAGTAGTAAATGAATATAAACAAAATTGCACAAACTATTAATTCAGAAGAAAACTACTTTTCTTGTTGAAATGTAAAATATTTCCATGCGCGTCCAATGTTTGTCGAATAAAATTCTTGTCTATAGACTGGAGCTGGATAAACATAGATAAAAAATGTAAATGTGTGTGGTAGGTAAAAAAGAAGTTCAAGAGCAATATGTGCGCGTATAAAGTGTTTCATACGTGCCTGTACACAATCATTCATTTTAATATCGATATACAGCACATGAGGTATAGTGCAGAGAATAATTAGTATTGGAGGTATCAAAAAGTCTTTATGATTAAACAATTGTTTACGATAAGTTGGCCAAAATTGATGGGATGATGCACATGCTAAGTAGACTTTTTGTCGAACAATACTTTGGAGAACAAAGCTGGTAGATAAAAGATGTATCAAACATGGAACAATAAGATGGAGATGATTCATTATTTTGTCAAATGTTTTCCAATTGTTACTGTATAAGAATGTGCACATGGTGGACGTGGGAATAATTGGATCAGTTAATAATTGACGAAAATATATTTTATGAATATTGGATAAACTCATCAGAATAAACAGTAGGACTGTAGCGATTACTGAATAATTTCTTGTACCAAATAAACTAAAATTAAAACATTCAATTAAAACACGTTCAACAGCAATAAATGATGATATCCACAAACTCAAGTGTCCAAATAATGGTTTAGCAATAACCGTGAGATACTTGCAAAAAAACAAATTGTGGTCAAATAACATTAGAACAACTAATATTTCCACTAGAATTATTGAAATCAAACAACAAATACAGTTAAATATTAAATATAAACCACATGGTGTAATGCGAATTTTTCGACAAAATGCAGTTTCTAATGTCATTAGATTATTAATAATCGATATAATTACTATCACAGTAACAACAGTCACGTATACAGTTGATAGCTTAGATTTTTCAGAGTCATCAACTGTGTGAATAATATCAGCCGACATTGATGGTGCCCAAGCCAAAGCCAAAAAATTATAACGCGTTTTACAAGCGAGACCTGTAAAACACGGAGGACACTTAGCCATATTTTTTTCACGATACACTCTTGCTTGTTATTCTTTGGACCTGTATCTTTAAATAAAGCAAATATTTTTTATTCTTTTTCGAGTATTCGTCACATGCTGTTAGCTATTTAAGGACTAAAAATAAAAATAAAACTGGTTTTTTCCAACAAATATAAATTATTCTAAATTAGTAGTCATGAATTGGCCGATAATGTTTTAAAGGATTCTACACTTCGTGAAACGAGATGTAGAGTAAATACGCAGCGGCGTAGCCAAGATAGGGGCCTAGGTGGCACAGCCCTCCCCTTCCCCTTAGAAAATTAACTTGTACTGGAAAGAATAGAATAAAATATTAGCTATCAGCGACATGTATTTGTTTAGTCTTCTTTTACTCTAAGCCTTCCTAAAAAAATATTGGGCCCTTCTCTTAAAAATATTCATAACGCCACTGTGAATAAGTGTAAAAATATCTTTATTTGAATGACTAAAATAATATCGAATCTTCATCATTTGTCCAGTTTAAAATATTAACTGTTTCCATCGTTAGTGTGCAATTGACGAAGTAAACGTCTTGGTCTAGGATGCAGAGGTATGCGGATGACAGAGCTCGTTATGACCTCACCAGTTTTCCCGTATCCATATAACAGCTTTTGCGCATCACACAATATCTGTTTATTTTCATCTGTGTAATTTTCAACTGTTTTCTAAGCAATACACAGCTAAAAGGATTTATGAACGATGCGCACGAACAATGTTGCACACGGATTCATGCGCACTGGCACCTTACGCACGAGAAGTGTTCCGCACCGGATTCTTACGCACCAGGTTGTTACGTACAGACGCTTGCGCAAGTATCACATAATGAGACAGAAAATCAAAGCGATGATGTTCTGTAATCAGAGCGTTTCTTTTTAATCTAAAGTTTTTAAAGAATAAAATTAATTATTGTGAATAAACTAACTAAACGATGATGTTATGTAAACAATATAGTACCATAAAATATAGTTCAGTGTAATATTGTGCTACACTACTATACGATTTTGAAATTTTCTGTACTATGACTTCTCAACGTGAAATGACTATAACTACGATAGGTCGACCACCGATGGTTGACGACGGGTATTCGCATGTAAAAGGTCGTCAAACGAATATAAAAAAGTACTGGCTCTGTGAGAACCATAAGCGTTTTAACTATCATTATCGTAATCCAACATTATGAAATTCATTGACAAATTACGTGATGAGGCAAATTCGGCCATTCGTACAAAAATTTTACACACCAACACTAGAGAATCAATACAAAAAACAAAGAAATATCAACATTTACATAAACGTTTGTTAAATCCACGTACAGATATAACTGATCAAATCAATAATCTAGCTCATAATATTTCTCTTAACTCTTGTACTCTCAAGCCTATTTTAGACACAGCAAATAGAATGCATTCATAGAATGTATTTCATACTTCGATCCATGCAAAAAAAAATTTCATCTCATTTTCTTGTTTTTTGAGAACAGGGTCGAAACAGATCCTGGTTGGTAGTACAACGGTTAAATAAACGTCATCATCGTTTAGTTAGTTTATTCATAATAATTAATTATGTTCTTTAAAAACTTTAGATTAAAAAGTAACTCTCTGACTACAGAACATCATCACTTTGATTTTCTGTCTCATTATGTGATACATGCGTAAGCGTCTGTGTGTAACAACCTGGTGCTTATTATTCCGATGCGGAACACTCCTCGTGCGTAAGGTATCCGTGTGCTTGATTCCACCTGCATGTTTCCCCATAAGCATAAATCCGTGCACAACATTGTTCGTGCGCATCGTTCCAGAACCCAGCTAAAACATTGGTCTGAGCATTCCATTAGAACATTAGAAATTATGAAATAAAATTGAGACAATCCCAGACTAGATCAAAATCTTTTAGGTCAAAACCATAACGAGCTCTGGTAGATGAGCCCATTTCATCGAACAATTTCTTTTTAGTTGATATTTATCAGTCATTGCAGGGAGCTCCGACAGGCGATTATCCATGACTATCCCCGATTTTGATGGTGCATATATAGTATGTAGATCTAGACTAGATAGGAGTAGCCTATAAATCCCAGCTCAAACAAATGTTTCGTAGAAGAGTTACATGCATTTTAAAAGTAGGTATCACTTCAAAAAAGGCGCAACTTTTAAGTCTACAAAAATAATTTTATGTATCCATATGAGATAGAATTAAGGGTACCCTCCCTCCTTTTTGACCCTCTTGGAACCGGAAAAACCGATGGCGCATCGCGCTGAAATTTATACCAGAGATAGAACATCGAAAAAGAAAATCGATATATTTTTGCCTAGAATTTTCGGACGTGTTCTTCTATGAGTTTTCGTCACCACACACTATGACCCCTCGAAAAAATGGTCCGATCGAGCTCAAAATTCTATCACAGA